GAACTACATCGTCCACCGAGACTTGAAGGTAAACGAGTTCGAAAATCATCTCCTCTTTCTAATCATCTTTCTAATCATTCACCCACAGGTGCAGAACCTCCTACTCACCGACAAGGGCGAGCTGAAGATCGCCGATTTTGGCCTGGCTCGGAAGTACGGCAACCCCTCGGAGCCGATGAGCCCCTTCGTCGTCACCCTCTGGTACCGAGCGCCGGAGCTGCTTTTCCAGTCGGTTTACCAGTCGACGGCCATTGACATGTGGGCGGCGGGCTGCATCTTCGGCGAGCTGGTCCTCCAGCGGCCGATCCTCCCCGGCCGCAGCGAGATGGCCCAGATTGACCTCATCATCGACCTGATCGGCACGCCCAACGACAAGATCTGGCCGGGCTTCTCCGCCCTCAGCATCCCCCGGAGCTTCAACCTGAAGAAGCAGCCCTTCAACAACATCGCCCACGTCTTTGCCGCCGCCTCTACTGCCTCTGTCCGCCTGCTCAATCTGCTGCTGATCTACGATCCGCGGAAGCGAGCTACGGCAGACGAGTGTCTGGGCAGTTCGTACTTCAAAGAGTCGCCCCTTCGTAAGCAGTTTCTTTTGAAAAATGTTTTTTTCAAAACTAATCTGTTCCATTTTACAGCTTGTGATCCCAGCGTCATGCCCTCCTTTCCGCAGCGGCGCAATCTTTAATTTCTTTAACTTTGTAAATAAAAAATCCTCATTTGACCATGAAATTCTAAATAAGAATCTCAGAATTTCGGTGCACTCAAATTCCCCAAAGCGGCATTTAACCTGTCTCGAACGATACCATCGATAGCACCATCGTCGGGAAGTGTGCGCCGGACAGACTGACACACACACGCAGGCTACGTTGCCAGTTCGGTGTGTGTGTGTGTGTTGTCTTCTGCTTTGTCTGCCTCTCTCAAAAGTCTCAAACGCGTTGACTTCTATTTTTCTATTCTTCCACTTGCAGTTTCCCACCTCTTTATTTCTCTGTCCCCTTCTTCAAGTCCATTTGTTCTACTTAATCACCACCACCACTACCTGCACTTGAGCCAGCAGAGCACAGCTGAAATACCTGCCAGTCACTGCGACCACCCCTACTACAATTGCAGCAGCAGCATGGCAGCGAACGACCAGAAGGACGTCGCCGGCTTGACCAGCGCCTTGGGGAACCAGCTGAACGTGAATGCGCGCGTCTTTGTGCCTAACTTTGGAAGCCACGCACCTGCACCGACGCCGGCTTCAGTAGCACCAGTTGTACCTCCTCAGCCGACTACAACAACAACGACCACCACCACCACTGAAGCCATTAAGGCCGATCCCGAGTCGGCTTCGACTGCCTCCTCTTCAGTTGCCAGTCGCAGCGGCTCCACTGCGGCCACTAAATCACCCGAAGAAGAGGTGGCCGACGACTGGGAAGCGGCAAATGCTGACGAAGATGACGAGGAAGAAGAAGTTGAAGGTGAGTAGAGTGAAGAGAGAGAGAGAGAAAAGAGAGTGAAAGCGAGTGGCTCACCCGAAACGAAAACAGTTGCCTCATTATATTGTCTTCAGTGACGACATACTAATGGCGATGATGAGGATTATTATTATGCCAAGCAAGAATGATCATGCATCTTACCCTTTGCTGGGTGGATGGTTGGTTTTTTGGTGCTTGTTGATCACGCTGATTTCTATTTAGTTTTAGTTGCCATGTTCTTGCTCTTACATCGTATCTAGCCAAATAGTAGCGCGCCACACAATGTACACCAACTTGAACCCGCACATGCTAAGCTGCATCTTCAATCTTCCCACAATAGATGACCAGTTCGATGAGGACATCTCCGAGGAGGCGGAGAAGCCGCTGAAGAAGAAGAGCGGCGGCAACGGCTCCTCCTCCTCCTCAGTGGCAAAGGGCCCCAAGGCGAAGAACAAGTCCTCGTTGAACAAGCCCGAGGTGGCGCACCCGGTGAAGACGAAGGAGCACCTGAACATCGTCTTCATCGGCCACGTCGACGCGGGCAAGTCGACCATCGGCGGCCAGCTGCTCCACCTCACCGGCATGGTGGACAAGCGGACGCTGGAGAAGTACGAGCGCGAGGCGAAGGAGAAGAACCGCGAATCGTGGTACCTCAGCTGGGCGCTGGACACCAACCAGGAGGAGCGGGACAAGGGCAAGACGGTGGAGGTGGGCAGGGCGTGCTTTGAGACGGAGAACCGCCTCTTTACGCTGCTCGACGCGCCCGGCCATCGGGGCTTTGTGCCGAACATGATCGGCGGCGCCTCGCAGGCGGACCTCGCCGTGCTGGTCATCAGCGCACGGAAGGGCGAATTTGAGACCGGCTTTGAGAGAGGTGGGCAGACGCGAGAGCACGCCATGCTCGCCAAGACTGCCGGTAAGTTACACTTTTTTCTTCTTTGTTTCGAATTGCCTTCTAAATGCTTTTTCTAGGCGTCAGACAGCTGATCGTGCTGATCAACAAGATGGACGACCCGACGGTGGAGTGGAGCGAGGCGCGCTACAACGAGTGCTGCGAGAAGCTGCTGCCCTACCTGAAGAAGTGCGGCTTCAACCCCAAGACGGAGCTCTACTTTATGCCCTGCTCCGGGCTGACGGGCGCCTACCTCAGGGAGCCCGTCTCAGAGGCCGTCTGTCCCTGGTTCAGGTAAGAACACTTTGATAACTTTTTTGTGTTTACCAAAACTAAACATTTTTTCCCCACAGAGGCAAGTCCTTCCTCGACTACCTGGACAGCGTGCCCTTTGGCAACCGCTACGTGGACGGCCCCTTCCGTATGCCCGTCTTCGACAAGTACAAGGACATGGGCACGGTGGTGATGGGCAAGGTGGAAAGTGGGAAGACGCAGCGCGGCGCCCAGCTCCTTCTCATGCCCAATCGGAAGATGGTGGAGGTGCTGCAGCTGTGGTCGGACGAGGAGGAGGTCAGTCAGGTGCTCAGCGGGGAGAACGTCAAGATCAAGCTGAAGGGCGTCGAGGAGGAGGAGGTCACCTCGGGCTTCGTCCTCTGCGACCCGGCCGACCCCTGCAGCATTGGCCGCGTCTTTGACGCGCAGGTGGCCATCCTCGAGCACAAGTCGATCATCTGTCCGGGCTACTCGGCGGTGCTGCACATTCACTGCGCCAGCGAGGAGATCAGCGTCAAGGGCATCATCGACCTCATCGACAAGAAGACGGGCGAACGGCAAAAGGTAAACAAACAAAAGGTAGCCTCCTTTAACCCCCTTCTAACCCCCGTCTTTCTTTTTTGTAAACCCTTTCAGGTAAAGCCGCGCTTCGTCAAGCAGGACCAGGTGGCGCTGATGAGGCTGGAGTGCTCCGGCGGCATGATCTGCATGGAACCGTTTAGCAAGTTCCAGCAGATGGGCCGCTTCACGCTAAGGGACGAGGGCAAGACCATTGCCATTGGAAAGGTGCTGCGCATTGCGCCCACCGAGGGAAGCAGCACTAGCAGCAGTGGCGGCGGCTCTGGCGGTTCCTCCGCTGGGGGTGCTTCTAGTGGGGGCGGCGGTGGCGGCGGCAGTTCCTCCAACGCTGTCGGCGGCGGCAACAGCAACGCCAACAACTAAACTTCTTATGTTGCTGCTGTTGCTGCTGCATAATCCTCCCCCTTTCTTTTCCTACCTTAGGCCAGCCAACAAACAAAGAGGAAGAAGGTTTCGGTCTTTACACTTTTTTTTATAAAAACATTCAACAAGATGAACTTTAAGAAGAAGGCGCTAAAAGTTTTTCAAGAACAGCACAGAGTGCAGCAACAACTCACACACCCACATCTGCGGACGACCCCTCCTTCCCTCCCCTCTCCTCCTGCACTCGAGCCTTTTTTATACTTCTTTATACATATTATCATTTTGAATGAGTTGCAAGCGATTTTTTATACTGTAGATGAGGAGGAGGAGAAGGAGGATTGGAGATGAAGTTATTCTGATGTGTCAACTCCCCTCCTCTCTACTTGAAAATGGAGAAAATGTACGCAAATGTGTTGTGCTGTGGTTATTGTTGATGTTCTCTGCTGATGCTCTGTTCTACCAATTAAAACGCAAGTTATATCAAGAATAGAAGCTGTCGTTTTATGATTCAAAGATTAGTGGTTTAGAAAATTTTACAGAGTAACAAAAAACCTCTGAGGCGGCTTTTTACTGGATCACACAATTCAGATTACACAGAGAAAAAGAGGAGAAAGAGGAGACGATGATACAAACACACACTTACACATATGATGATGTAGAAAAACGAAAATCAACGCTTTTTAGTCTAGCTCATCGATGAACTGGTTATTCGCAACGGAAGTGGAGCTGGTTGACAGTCCTGGCGAGTCGAGGCTGCCACCACCTCCACCACCACTTCCATTTTCAGGTGATTGCTTGTCGCTGTCGGGGTTAAAGAGCGACTGAAAGAGATTGGAGAAGATGCCGCCGGCAGGGGCCTTCTGCTTTCTCTCGCGGCCAAAGTAGATCTCGCCAATCTGGTCGAGGTACTCCTTGTAGCAGGGATCACGATTCAGCGACTTCTCGTAGAGGCTGCAGAGGACGTTGAAGACGTTGGTCTTGCCGCTGCAAAACAAAAAAGCATGTTAGTGTGATTTCGAAATGACTTGAATACCAATCAGCCTACCTGTGATTGTCAATTGCAGAGAGGAGGAAGAAGATAAAGTTGAGCAGCGGCTTGAGAAAGGGCGGCTCGACGTTCTCGATGGCCGGGTGGCGGCTGGTGTACACCTTGAAGACCACCTGCGCCAGCTGCTTCTTCTCCGCGNAGCATGTTAGTGTGATTTCGAAATGACTTGAATACCAATCAGCCTACCTGTGATTGTCAATTGCAGAGAGGAGGAAGAAGATAAAGTT